GGTTTCTGGGCTCACAGCCCCTCCCCCCACCCCGCGTACTGAAACGCAGCATTTCCATCCAGCAGATACCCTAGCCTGTGGTTCCTGACTTCATAACACCGCACCAGTCCGTAATCTTGATTATATCACTGTGTGGATGTGGTCTGGGGAACCGCAAAAACGGGCTTTTCAAAACTTGGCCATGTTTGCAGTACCCAGAAAGAAAAAAAAAAAACTGTAGACAGGGCTTGGCACTCTGGCCCGGTGGCAGAGCCAGTAGCAGGCATAATGAGGCCTTTGCCCAATCCCTGCCCAGAGGGGAGAAAAATAAAAGTGGGGCAGGGTGGGGGCGGGGCGGGCCATGGCCTACTGGCCTGTGCTCTGAGACTCCTAGCCCTGCTGCCTACATACAGGAGCACAGCTCAGGCAGGGGAGCCAGGCCCCAGGGGCTCCTAGGAGCCCCTGCAGCCTCCCTGCCGGCTGCAGCACTCAGCACCACAGCTTCCCCGCCTCCCTAAAGGGGGGGCCTCCACAAGGAAGTGCTGACCAAACTTTCACCAGCTCATCACAGGCACAGCCACCAGGGTAGGAAGGAGCAGGAAGTGGAACATGAGCAAAGGCCCAAGCAGCCCCAAATACATCGAGGTGCACACCCGGGCTTTCCAGAGCCCAGGGATGAAAAGTACAAACAGCGCTTGAGACCTTGCTAAAAACCACACTTCGGCCGGGCGGTGGTGGCGCATGCCTTTAATCCCAGCACTCAGGAGGCAGGGCCAGGTGGATCTCTGTGAGTTCGAGGCCAGCCTGGTCCACAGAGCGAGATCCAGGACAGGTACCAAAACTACACAGAGAAACCCTGTCTCAAACAAACAACAAACAAACAAACAAACAAACAAACAAGAAAACACAGTTCCCCACACCCAGAACTCAGCACAGTGGGATGCCTGTAATCCAGGTACTGGGGGGCCTGAGAGGAGGACCTCTAGTCCAAGTTCAGCCTGAGCTACAGGGTGAGGCCTGTCTCAGAGCAAACTCCAGCACAGACCTGAAGTGCTCTTGCTTCTGAGGAGCCACAGAAACACACACTAGCCGGACACTGAGAGAAGCTCCTCCCTGGACTAGGCTCTCCCCAGACAGCTCACACTAGGAAATGGCACAGGGGGGAAGTCCTGTCCTCTGCACAGCACAGCAGAGGGACCTGGCAGAGGACATCCCTTGTGGGAGACAGGACTTGGAGGCCCTGATGGATGCCAGGTTGTCCAGCCTGAAGCTGTGACAGAGATGTTCCCCACTCCTTAGCAACTTTCTGCAGACACTGGAAGGCACTTGGAAGGATGGCCAAACAGCTGCCCTGATGATTAGAGGCCAACCAATGTGTATGGGCCCACCCTGTGTGTCTACAGACAATGTGGGGAATGTCTGCAAATCGGTTCACTATATCTGAGGTCAAGCTGTACACTCTGGGTGCACGAAGGATCGCCCTCCCCAAATTCCATCAGATTTGACAGCAAGAGGGCACAAGGGACAAGTTGGAGACGAGACAGTAGCAAGGAATGCTGGTCAGATGTGATGATTCTTGTTCTTAAGGAAGTTCCACATGAAGGGTTGAGACTGGCTCTTTAGAAATGTCGGCAGGACCTTTTCACATGGAAAGCCAGAAACTTTTGACAGAAAACAGTGCTTAAGTTTATGCATCAAGAAATTAAATGTTAGATTTAGTAGAGAAATGAGGGCTGGGATGTAGTTCAGTCCCACAGCCCTCCTAGCTTGTAGAATGTCCTGGATTCTACCTCCACCTGCAGTGTGGAAACACACACACACACACACACACACACACACACACAGACGCACGCACGCACGCACGCACGCACGCACGCACGCACGCACGCACAGGAAGGAAAAGAGATAGTTGTTTTTGTTTTTCCCCAGACAGGTTTTCACTGTGTAATAGTTCTGGCTGTCCTGGAACTCACTCTGTGGACCAGGCTGACCTTGAACTCACAGAGATCAGTCTGCCTCTGCCCACTCCCACTCCCCACAGTGCTAGGATTAAATGCATGTGCCACCACGGCCAGGCTGAGAGAGGATATTTTGTAGTGTGATTTGAGGGAGAACTTGGTGAAGCCCTGGTTTCTGAGTAAGGAGAAGGAAAACTTCTCATCAGCTGTAGCAATGCATAGTACCTCTTTGCTCTTAAATATTCTGTATTTGGTCTAGGTGTAATAACACAAAGAAGGAAAAATTAAACTTAAATGTTCAGCAATTGTACATTAAACTTGATACAGTGAGAACCACTAAAAGTAGTTATTATAGCTAGCATAAACAAGCCAGAAATTAACCCTCATATGAGTGGTCAGGTAATGTTTAACTAGAGTGCCATGACAAATTAATGGGAAAAGAATACTCTTTTCACACACAAAGGTGTTTGGCTAAGCTGTATGTGCACATACAAAAGAGTGAGGTAGGGTACTTATTTGCCATTATATGAAAAAATAAACTCAAGCCAGGCGGTGGGGGCGCATGTCTTTAATCCCAGCACTTGGGAGGCAGAGCCAGGCAGATCTCTGTGAGTTCGCGGCCAGCCTGGTCTACAAAGCGAGTTCCAGGAAAGGCACAAAGCTACATAGCGAAACCCTGTCTCAAAAATCCAAAAAAAAAAAAAAAAGAAAAGAAAAGAAAAAGAAAAAGAAAGAGAAAGAAAAAAAAGGAAAAGAAAGAAAGAAAAAAGAAAAAATGAACTCAAGGGCCAGGAAACTGGCTTGTAGGTAAAGTGCTTGCTGTCCAAGCACAGGAGCAGATTCAGATCTCCAGCATCCACATAAGAACATGATGGCACACATCTGTAATAACATTGCTGGGGAGGCAGAGACAGGTGGAGCCCAGAGTCAATGGCCAACCAGTGTCACTGGACTTGTGAGCTTCAGGTTCAGAGATGAACCTTGTCTCAACAACTAAAGTAGAGCCGGGCAGTGGTGGCGCAGGCCTTTAATCCCAGCACTCAGGAGGCAGAACCAGGTGGATCTCTGTGAGTTCGAGGCCAGGCTGGTCTACAAAGCGAGTTCCAGGAAAGGCACAAAGTTACATAGAGAAACCCTGTCTCAAAAAACAAAACAAAAAACAACAACAACAACAACAACAACAAAACCTAAAGTAGAATGTGATTGAGAAAGACATTTGATATCAATCTCTAGTACACACAAACGGAGAATCACACATAGACATCACACACACACACACACACACACACACACACACACACATAAACACACACACACATAGTCTCAAACACAAGGAACTAAAAATGCATCAGAAACCAAAATAGACCAGTTAAAACCATAAATGCTGCCAGATGGTGGTGAAGCACACCTTTAATCCCAGCACTCGGGAGGCAGAGGCAGGCGGATTTCTGTGAGTTCGAGGCCAGCCTGGTCTACAGAGCGAGTTCCAGGACAGGCACCAAAACTACACAGAGAAACCCTGTCTCGAAAAGCAAACAAAACAAAAAGTAAGAAAGAAAGAAAGAAAGAAACAAACAAACAAACAAACAAACAAACAAAAAGGTTGTATGTGGTGGCACATACCTGTCATTCCTAGAGCACTGGAGGGTGAGGTGAGAGTACCTCAAGTTTAAGACCAGTCTGGAGCACATCATGAGTACCAGGCTAGCCTGGGCTGCAGAGAAAAACACTGCCCCCCAAAAAGAAAAAGAAATGGCTTATGTAGGTGGTCCTCAAATAGCAGTTAGATTTCCATCCTGTGCCAATATATCATTCTTCAAAACAAGTACATTTACAAGTTTCAAAACAGGAACATCATACTTCCTAACAAAAATAATCTTGGATAAATGTGATTCACCAGAGGAGCACATATTTGGTGCTTAATCAGAAATCCTTATTTCTTTCTTTCTTTCTTTCTTTCTTTCTTTCTTTCTTTCTTTCTTTCTTTCTTTCTTTCTTTCTTTTTTTTGATTGTTTTTTTAAAGATTTATTTATTTATTTTGGGTTTTGGGGGGGGGGATGTTCAAGACAGGGTCTCTCTGTGTAACAGCTCTGGCCGTTCTGGAACTCACTTTGTGACCAGGCTGGCCTCGGCCTTGAACTCACAGAGATTCACCTGCCTCTGCCTCCCAAATGCTAGGATTAAAGGTGAACACTGGGGCGGGTGATGATGGAGCACTCCTGGCCAGCCTGGTCTACAGAGTGAGTTCCAAAACATGCACCAAAACTACACAGAGAAACCGTTTAAAAAAAAGGGGGGGGGGGTTGAGTGCCACACCACCCAGCAAGATTTATCTACTTTTTTTTTTTTTTTTTTAATGTACATTGGTGGTTTACGTGCATCCATCTTGGTGGGAAGGTCCTGGAACTGGAGTAACAGTTTTGAGCTGTTCTGTGGGTGCTGGGAATTTAACCCGGGTCCTCTGGAAGCTCTTAACCACTGAGCCATCCCTCCAGCCCGAAAATTATTATTATTCTTAATGTAATATCACATGAGATTCAGTTTCACCTTGTGCACGTAAATTGAGGCAAACAGAATCTCAGGCTGAAATGGTATTTTAGTGATATTTTATTTTATTTTTTGGTTTTTCGAGACAGGGTTTCTGCCTCCGAGGGCTGGGATTAATGGAGTAAGCCACCACCGCCCAGCCTTATTTTATTTTTTCTTTATTCTTCTCTCATACAATACATCCGGCCCACAGCTTCCCATCCCTTCACTCCTCCCAGTCCCCCCGCTCCATCTGCCCCCCCCTCCCCCGCCTCCCCTCTCCTCCCGCCCACCCGCCCCCATACACACATACTCCTCCCCTCCGTGAAGCGAGAAGCCTTTGGAAAGGCGCGGGCCCTGAGCATTGCAACTTGTGATTGGCTTAGACGACATTTTCCCTACCCGGCAGACCTTCCTCATTGGCTGCCTACATTGCCTCGCCTACTCCGTGCTTGGCTTCTTCTCCTTCCTTTGCCTAGTGGCTTGCGGGTTAGTCTCCCTGCTCAGCTTGCTTGCTCTCTGCCCCTCCTTCCGGTCTAGCGCCGGACATCGTCGCCCTCCTGCCGCCACTCTGCTCTGTTCTACTTGGCTTTGTGCTCAGCCTCCGGAGTCCCCGAGTCTCACGGTCTTCCACTCGAGGTCTCATCTGGCCCCACGGTCTAGCCTCGCAGCAAGGTCAGTTTGCCTCCTCTCGGGTCTCACCGCCCCTCGGTCTCACTGCCTCTCGGTCTAGCCTCGCAGCAAGGTCAGCTTGCCTCGTCTCGGTCTAGGTCGTCTCGTCTCGGTCTCACCTTGTCTCGGTCTCCTCACCTCGCATCTCGGCCTCGCGTCTGGCTCTCACCTTGTCTCGGTCTCCTCCATCTCGGTCTCGCCTCGTCTCCGTCTCGCCTGCCCGTGTGGTTTCGCTTCCTCGTTTATCTCTTCTCCACAGATTTGTGCTCTGCCCCCATCAGCCATGGAAAGTGACCTAGTGGTTCCAGAGGGCAGCCAGGATGCTGCCAGAGTGGAAGCGGCAACGGCCTCGTCACCCCCATTCCAGGCCCCGGCTGCTGTAACTGCCACAGTGCACTCAATTGCCAGGCAGGGCCGGTCGGCCCAGAACAAGACAAGGATTCAAGGCTGGTCAGGATTCAGGCTTCCTAACCGGGAGCGGGAAGGGGCCAGTCGGGAGGAGCGCCTCGTTTCTCTCTCGGAGCTGACTCCGTACATCTCCTGTTCTGTTTGCAAAGGTTATTTAATAGATGCAACAACCGTTACAGAATGTCTTCATACCTTCTGTAAAAGCTGCATCATAAAACATTTTGAACATAGCTATAGGTGTCCAAAATGCAACATTGTAGTGCACGAGGCCAAACCTCATAATCACCTGAGGTCGGATCCACAATTACAAAACATAGTCTACAAATTAGTGGCAGGCCTAGAGGAAAAAGAAAAAAAGCAAAGGCAAGAATTCTATAAAAGACATTATTCGGAAACACCAAAACCTGATGCTGTTCCACAGCCAGGCCCTTCAAGCGAAGGGAACACTGAGGAACTTGTGGAATTGTGCTTTAGTTCACATGAACCTAGTATTTCTTTGTTGCTAGAGTCTACAGGCACTAATGCAGACACTGAGCATTTTAAACCACTGAAAATGAAGTTTGTGCAGATCTCAAGAAATGCAACCATTGGACATATAGAAAATTTTCTCAAAAGAAAAATGGGCCTTGCTGAAGCTTATCGGGTAGATATCACGTGCGGTGGTCAGTTGCTGAAGGACTTTCAAACTCTGCAAGAAGTCCAGTGTAGAGTAGGGGATGCTGGGATGCAGGGTGATTTGCTAATGCTTTATTACAGTATTGTGCTTTCCCCTCTGAAGGTGACTTGCTAGGGGTAGTATGAAGGGACAGAAAGTAAGAAGGCCTCTGTAGAACTGCATCTTACTGAAGAGTTCTAGAAAACATGGAATCATTAGACTTTGTACTGTTTCTGACACACCTGTATCTGCACCAGGCATCTTAGTATTTATAGGTACAGCTTGGATCAGTGGGATACAAGACATTGACTTTTTAAATTCCTTGGGATTCCAAGAACTGTGAAGTTGAATGTTGCATCTCATCTTTGAGATAAGTTGTTGACAGTTTTCTTTTTGGTTGAGCCTGTTCTCTTTCAATTTGGTTGAGATTCTGCTGTCTGCAATGGCTTCCAGTGGTAGATGTTTTGGACAACAACATACTAGAGGTTCAAGGCCAGTCATCCATAAATTGCAGCGTAAACTCACAAAGACTACAGTTTTTTTGCTACTTTTGTATGTTGTCATCATATTTTGAAGTTAACCTGTTTTTGTAACTGACATCAATCCTGAAGAGATGTTATTCAATTCTAAAGGTAAGAATTACTATCTTATGGGATGAAACTGTCTCCAGTAGGATATATGACTGAAGTCATTAGCCTTCAGTATAGTAAGAGCTCTTAACATGCCTTAAAATAAGAGGTGTTCTTCGTGATTTATACATATATAAATTATTAAATATATATTAAATTAAATATATATGTTACACACACACACACACACACCATAGTTGTTCTCTGGGCTACTGGTGTCGTGACATCATGCAAGATTCTCATAGAATGATTACTGATGCCTTGTGATGGTAATGGTACCACTTCTAAAATAGAGAAGTTCAGGTTAACTTGCGACATCTATAGAGTACTTACTTATTGTGTCTTCAGCATGACACTTCTTTTGTTGTTGTTGTTTGGTTTTTGTTGTTGTTGTTGTTTGGTTTTTTTTTGTTGTTGTTGTTGTTGCTTTGTTTTTTCGAGACATGGTTTTTGTGTCGTTTTGGTACCTGTCCTGGATCTCACTCTATAGACCAGACTGGCCTTGAAATCACAGAGATCTGCCTGGCTCTGCCTCCTGAGTGCGGGGATTAAAGATGTGTGCTACCACCGCCCAGCTCAGCATGGCACTTTTACTGATTTAATGTTTGCTGTCTGTTTTCCTGTTATTTTGTTACTGGGATTAAGAAAATAAGGCTGAGCCGGGCAGTGGTGGCACACGCCTTTAATCCCAGCACTCAGGAGGCAGAGGCAGGCGAATCTCTGTGAGTTTGAGGCCAGCCTGGTCTACAGAGTGAGATCCAGGACAGGCACCAAAATGACACAGAGAAACCCTGTCTTGAAAAACAAAACAAAACAAACAAAAAAAAGAAAAGAAAAGAAGGTTGTTTGTAAGCTCACTTTTTTTTTTTTAATGGTGAGACTTCAATTTTAAACACTTTTTTTTTTTTTTTTTGCCAAAAAATTCACGTCCTGGTGCTTTCTAAAAGATACCTTACAGGCTCTGTTTCATGGAAGAAACATTTAAAAATCTGTATTGGAAACTTTAAACATGGGACAAAGAGTGGTAATTGTAAAGAACTTGTGAGCTTGCTGGGCATGGGGGAGCATGCCTGTAATGTTAGAGCCCGGGAGAGGAGAGGAGAAGATGGGGAGTTCAAAGTCTCCTTCAGCTACAGAAGGAGTCTGCTTTAGGGGGAGATGTTGAAAACGCTGAGAAGGGGCGGGGGACGGGACTAGAGCATGAACATGTGAGCCTGAGAGTAGATTGTGATACCCCTGTTCTCTTCTTTTGACCATGAGCTGAGCGCTTCCTCTCATGCTGTGCTACCTGACCACGATCCCAAATCAACAGGAACAAGCAACCAGTGGATTGGAACTGGGCAGACTGTGAGCAAACGAACGTCTTCTCTTTTCCGGGTGACTACATCAGTTATTTACTCTAATACCAGAAATCTGACTAACACCATAGTCCCGCATTTACAGTTGATGTTGAGGTACTAGTTAGTGAATTGTAGTGGATTATTATAATCGCATGTTTTTGTAGTTTCCATTTTAATACACATTGGATTAGTAACGGTGGACACGTTTTCTACTTCTGCCTCCTTCCAGGTTCCGTGTGATGCATGCAGATTTGTACAACCCCCTGATGTCTACCTCCCTGTGGGACAGCTCATAAGCACTTTGCTCAGGAGAAGACGCCCATAGCGGGCATCCACTGTACAGACAGGCTGCACGAAGGACCTCTTAGCTACAGCATGGCCCCACCGAGCGTTGGCAGCGATGCCGGCCTAGTTGTTTTTGCTATTTGGGTTTTTGTCTGTTTTAGGAGTTTTGTCTTTTTCCCTGCCCACTGCTTGAGCAGGTGAGTGTGTATTCTACAGGCCCGTGCCCTTGGCCTGCGGTTGCTGTCTTTTCTCTTAAGTTTGAAGTAATACAAACTGATTCTGTTGCTTCATGCATGTGTCTGTGTTTGTTTTTGTACTGCCTCTTCTGTGTCCTGTTGGACTGGCACACTGCAGAGAAAAGTTCTGGGGAGAGGCTTTTGTAGGTAGTGGCTATCAAGTCAGTCAAGAGTCATAAGGGTGCACACCTTTAGTCCCAGCACTCGGGAGGCAGAGGCAGGTGGATCTCTGTGAGTTCAAGACCAGCCTGGGCTACAGAGTGAGTTCCAGATTTAAAAAAAAAAAAAAGCCAGGCATTGGTGACACACACCTTTAATCCCAGCACTCGGGAGGCAGAGCCAGGCAGATCTCTGTGGGTTGGAGGCCAGCCTGGTCTACAGAGTGAGTTCCAGGACAGGCTCCAAAACTACACAGAAAGACCGTGTCTCAAACTCCCCTCCCCCAAAAAAAGAGTCATAAGGGTATCTTCCACAGCCACAAATTCTGCAGCTCCATCAAGGTCAGGCTCCAGGGAGACATTTCAAGTTCAAGTTAGAGGGGAAAAAATCCTTGTCATATCATGGAGGTGTACGCCCCTGGTTTGAGAGGCATAACAAGTTAGGCTCAGACTCCTTTTGGCTTATGTCTGGTCCTCCCACCTGGCTGAGACCATATGGGAAGGGTCTGGGGTTTGCTGATGTGTCTGTGTTGCTGTCCACTGCTGCCTGTTGTGTTGTCTTGGTCCACTCTTACCCACCCTCCAGCTAAACTGGAGGGCCATGAAAAGGTCTGAATTCTTCCCAGAACCCAAGGATTTCCAGTGTTCATATCCCAGTGAGGGTGTCCACGTGGTACTCTTGGTCATTTAGAAACGGAGCTACTAGTACAGTCAGATTGAGTCTACTCTCAAGGGTCGTCTGTGCTCCAGTGGTTTGTTCCAGAAAGACAGAAGGGAAAGGGTAAGCTCCAGTGAGGAGATGTCAGGTAGATACTGGGCGGCTGTAAGGACTGGCGGATTGCAAGACAGGGACTCACATTCTGACCACCCACTAACATGGTGAGGCGGTAGATGAGGCTGGAATGTTCAGCCTAGCAAAATCGGAGTGTCTCATTCACTAGGGAGATAAGAATCCTCACAGGCCACAGTGGAAAACCTGCATCTTTGAGGGTAAAAGTCAGGAGTGGGGTGTGGGGGACACACCGGCAACTTACAGCACCTATGAACCTAAAGGAAATAATAGCAAAAGAAAAAAATCCTGCTGCTCTGGTGGCCTCATGTCGAAGGGCAAAAAGGGAATTCTGGAGGCTGGAGACATGGCTCAGCAGCTAAGGGTACTGTCCCCTCCTCCAAAGGACCCAGGTTCAATGCCCAGCACCCATATGGCAGTTCACAATTGTCTGTAACTCCAGTTCCAGGGAATCTGGTATCCTCACACAGACAGACATGCAGGCAAAACCCAAATGTACATTTAAAAAAAATCTTTTAAAAAAAGATTAAAAATAAAGAATTCTGGACTTTAATTACTAAGTAAATACCACATGTAGGGAACACAGTCCTCTTCCAGATTACTTACCATTCTGTAAGCAAGCCACTAGAGAAGACTAACGGGAATGTTAAATCATTATAGGTACACAGCATTTTAATACTAGCACATGTTAAAATATATTCATGCACGGGACGCATGCCTTTAATCCCAGCACTTGGGAGGCAGAGGCAGGCGCATCTCTGTGAGTTCGAGGCCAGCTGGTATACAGAGCGTGATCCAAGACAGGCACAAAGCTACACAGAGAAATCCTGTCTCGAAAAACAAACAAACAAACAAACAAACAAACAAAAATATATATATATATATTCATGCATCCATAAAATAGAACTAAATTTTCAAAAAATCACATACTTGGATTCAAAGCCGGTTTGGATGCTTTCACTGGTTTCAATTTGAAGATCCAAATCAAACAACCTGCAATTTAATTCAGATCTGGCAAAAGGTGAGGCTCCATGCCTTCAATCTAGTAATACAAGCCCTACAACTCAAACTCCACCACTTATGGAAGCAGCAACTGACGTATCACCACATAGTAATAGGTCAGTTCTAGGCCTTGACTATAGGCTAATGTTCCCTTGTTTTGTGAGCTAGGGGTCTCTCATTGTCCTAGGGCTCACTGCTTAGGATGTTTGGCTGGCTACCTGCTTATCTCCAACTTCTCAAGTGCTGGGAATGCAATCACGCATTTTTGTTGTTGGTTTTGGTTTTGGTTTTGGTTTTTTGAGACAGGGTTTCTCTGTGTAGCCCTGGCTGTTCTGGAACTCGCTCTGTAGACCAGGCTGGCCGTGAACTCACAGAGATCCTCCTGCCTCTGCCTCCCAAGTGCTAGGATTAAAGGTGTGCACCACCATTGCCCGGCTTTTTTTTCTTTAATGTGGGTTCTGGGTGAAGGAGGGTCAGGGGTAGTTGGGCCAATATGGAAAACAGGGACTGGTTCCTTAAGGAGGAGCTATTCCCTGCTCTCCTCCCCCAAGGATGTTGGATCCCTTACAATTTGCTAACTGAAGGTGGGCAGGACCAATGAGGGAGAGAGATCTGCCTGCCTTTGTCTCCTTGGTGCATTAAAGGCCACCCACTAAGCAGGTTTGAACTGCTCACTCTTGCTTTTTTAAAAAAAGAAAAGAAAAAAAAAAAAAACCCAGGGTTTCTCTGTGTAGCCCTGGCTGTCCTGGAACTTGCTCTACAGACCAAGCTGGCCTTGAACTGAAGTCACAGAGATCAGCTTGCCTCTGCCTCCTGAGTACTGGGATTAAAACATTGTACCACTACTGAGCATCCTGAATTGCTTTCTCAATGGCAATCATCTGTAGATTTATCACCTGAATGATGATATGAAGTGACTAAGGTAATGCCATCTTGTTCTGACTCCATTTTATGTCTGCTTAAATAGACCCCTACCCCCACCCCCACCCCCACCCCCACCCCCACCCTGCACCCTCACACCGGCATAGCCACATCCACCCTGGCAACATTTTGGGGCTGTCTGTGACCCTGACCATGGTCCAGATGTATTAACCAAAATAATTAATGCTTATGTGAGATAAAACTAAAATAACTAGAGGAATCTTAAATCAAAAATAATGGTATTGTGTCTGAAAAATACTGCTAAGTTCTGCAAAACGACAGATGTTACAAAGTTACTCCAAGCCCAGGCTCTCCAGCCAAACACTGATATAATTGTCGTCTTTGTGGGTTTTGTCTTTAAAAATACTGTACACCTAAGCTTTAGCACCAAGAGGCATTTTGGAGGTGTTAGCTTATTCTTGGTCTGGTTGTTATTAAAGGAGGGTCAGGGGTAGTTGGGCCCATACGGAAAACGGGGACAGTTTTATTTATTTATTTATTTATTTATTTATTTATTTATTTATTTATTTATTTATTTATTTACTTTAATGTGCATTGATGTTTTTGTCTGTGTGTACGCCTGTGTAGGGGTGGGGATGCCGGGTCTCCTGGCAGTGGAGTCACCATGTGGGTGCTGGGAATTGAACCTGCGTCCTCTGGAAGAGCAGTCAGTGCTCTTAACCTCTGAGCCATCTCTTCAGCTTCAGGACTCATATTCTTATTTGGCTTAATTAGTGTGGTGGCCACTAATTATCTGACATGGATCATTTCAGATAAAGCCTATACTTTTGTTTTTTGGGTTTTTTTGGGGGGGGGTTTCCTCAGAGGGTGTCATATAGCCTGGGCTGGCCTCAAGCTCATCATGTAGCTGAAGCTAGCCTTGAATTCCTGAGACTACGGGTATATGCCACTTATGAGGGTTTTATTCTTGTTTGGATTGCATCCATTACACAGTATCACAAAGAAGGGGGGAAATTGCTTTGAGGTATTTTGGGCAGACAACGAAGTATAGAGAAGTGTTAAAGGAAGCAAGGCCAACATAAATGACAGTGACCAGGAGGGATGGAGTGGGACACTTTACATTCTGGATTGTAAGGGTGCATGGTACTTTAGATTATAGGAAGGCATCTGCATGGGTATGTTAATGGCTTAACTTATGGTGTGTTAACCATTTGTTCTGAGTTAACTCCCCTCTCCTAGGACAGATGCCTCTGGAGGAATACAGGTTGATTGTTGTTACAGGTCTGACCCCAGAGATGAGCACTCAGACGCAGTTCAGAGCCAATTGAAAGTCTTTACTCCAGGCAGTCGGGACTACACTCAGGTATTCGGGACCCAAGTGTAGCCTTGAGTGTTTAGAGTAAGGGGTCTTTAAAGGTCAAATCCGCATCCTGGTATCTCACTTGGCAGTTGCTGGGGGTGGGGGTGGTATGGTGTGTGTGTGTGTGTGTGTGTGTGTGTGTGTGTGTGTGTGTGTGTGGTGTCTACACAAGCAGGCAGTTTACAGAAGCTAAGACATATTAGCTGGGGCATCTTGACCTCAGGTTCCTAGGACAGAGTTGGGTAAATTTCCACAGGATTCTCCATCAAGGAGCTCAAAGTCAAGTTAAAACAATAATGGCCTCAGCAAGAATCCAAGGTGCGCTGTCTGGCCCTGTCATTATTATCCCCAGAAGCTAACTAGACTTGGTGTTTGTCCATGTGCTTGAGCCCAGACGTCCACAGAATAAGAGAAAAAAAATGTGCCTGAGCCCAGACATCCACAAAATGAGAGAAAAGACTGCCGGGGATGATAACAAGACAAGCTCAGACATCACAAGTCTCAGAAATGTGGCTGGCCGCCTGACCAGAGGGGCAAGCTTGAGCTCTGGAGTGACGGACTGATTCCCCTCTTTCCCCTACCAGCCTCCTTCCTGCAGCATGTGCTCTGGAGAGATGAGGAGGTGAGCAGGGAGGGCTCTTTTGTTTGGATTCTTCCTTTTTAAGACCTCCCTTCTCAGACTGCTGGCTCTTTTGTGTAAAGCACATCTTGAAGAGTCAATTCCTGTCTCTGCCCGGTGGCCTCTGTGGTGACAGCCAGAACAAAAGGCCGGCATCCTGGCTACACAAAAATGTGTGCTTCAACGGGCCATGCTACAAGTAAATCACGAGCCCTTAAGGGTGTTCTGTCT